AAAAAACTATTCATTGTCAAAGGAGCACAATTTCAGGGTTGATAGGCAGGTTATTAAGCTTGAATTTTCAGTTTTTCAAAAACAGTTTGTTTATCTGCAGCTAGCTCGCGTGGTCTTGAATGAGGCCAATTTTGGTTTAATTCGTCTGTTTCTTTTGTCACTTAGTACTTCTTAGAACTTTACGAAATTTCTGTAGTTTTTCTGACAAATAAACGGTGCAAAAGTCGCAATTCAAGTACATGATTCATCGAAAATATGTAACTAGAAAAATTGGATTGCGTGCAGTCGTTTCCAATGACAAAGCACCACGCATGCGACATGCTGACATGGTTCGCGCATGCACGATACGAAATTGAGCGATTGCGAGCAGAGGTTTCTCCCTGTCTCTCAATGAGCAGTAAAAGACGAGAACCTCTGTCTCGCAGGTTATATCGTTGATGTCTTGAGCTCATTTTGAGATTAATACTGTGAAAGTCAAAAAGCCGTGAATGCTTTGATTTGATTTTGACATGTCCATTGTGTAGCCCAATCAGATGCGAGGTAAAACCGCAGAGAAAGCAAACTAAAAAAATTAACGTTGAACCCTAACCCAAACAAACTAACGGTGTCTCCATCAATCACGAAACCACACTTCGATCGTTTTTCCTTCCAAAAACTGTCTGTTACCCTTTAGTTTTATAATCACTCATTTAACCTGTTCTATTTGTGCAAGCTGAACAGGAAATTAACTCGAGCGACTTTAAATGGCGTGTGGCTCAAACCTGCACTCGCGGACTTGTAGCCTTAGGCTACAAAACCAGACAGCTCTTCTATATTCAACTTCATCGGTTACTACATTTGGCGATAAAAATTATAAAGAACCCTGATAACTCCAAACTAAAAAGATCACTTTCTATGCAAGGTGAGAAGATTTGGAAAAAAACGAGGTTAAGGAGCAAAATAGATACAGTCAACTCCAGTTATAGCGGACACCCTCGGGACCGCGATTTGGTGTCCGTAATAGCGAGAGTCCGCAATAGCGGGGTGCGCGAAAATTTTTATTTTAAACGATATTTACAGAAGGGGGTCACATGTGTGTTCATTTTCATTAATTCCAGTGCCTTTTTCAGACCCGTTGTCGCACGTAAAGAGCGTCAGAACTTTATTTACAAACCGGAACAGAACTTAACAGAACAGAAGTTAGGTATCCTTTGTGTACAGTAGTTCTTCTAAGTACGTAAACAACAATCATCGTATGTTGCAGCAATGTCCACACATGCATCGTTTTGGTTTCCTACTGTACTGATGTACAGTAATCTACATTTCTAAAAAAAAAATATTTTCAAGGAAAAACCTGAACATCAGCTATTGCTCGCATCAGCTATCACATTACCTTAAAATATCGTTCCAATCGGCTCTGTGTACTTCTCCTTTGAATTGCAACTTCCCCCACTTTGTCGCCAAGGAGACTAAATTTATTAACAACCTTAAACTCCCCTCGATGAATCAAAAAAGCAGAAATGTTTTGGACACTGTCCAGAACGTCCTTGAAACTTTTCAAAGTGGTTGTTTCGTTTGAGGTTTCGCTTTCACTTGGGGTATCTCGTTCTTTTTCCGTTTCACTGATTGATGGACAGAAGAGGCGGAAATCGACCAAAAGAGACAAAGACAATCTCAAAAAGCGGAAAAAATGGACTTGATATGTGTGCAAATGTTCCAAGATGCTGCTCGGTTTCCGCTATAACGAGAGAGAAAACAAGAAAATTGTGACGTTGGGACCGAATGAAGTGTCCGTAAGTCCGTAGTATTCAGTAGTATTTAACCCCTTGTAGAGAAAGTATTGCCGCGGTGTCAACTGTCGCTGGTTTTCACGTCCCCGTCTTCCAAAAAGGAGGCCGAGGTAGAACCAAGCCGTCCTCTGTAATTGGGCAGGATTCAAGCTGTCGGCCGGTCCCAGTTCGCCGCTCTCAAATAGTTTCTTCACCTGCTCTTTCGAGATTGCATTTTTGTGGACGATGCCAGCTATTTTTCCCATTTTCCTTAGGTCTTTCACGAAAGCGTCTAAAACTTTATTCGCCTCGGTAAAAGTGGGTTCAGAGATAATGGAAAACGGTTTATTGTTTGGCGGCGAGCGAACGAAACGAACAGTGGCGACTCTTATGGATTTCGTGGATGAACGTTTGTAATACGTGCCATCTTTCTTCCTCGCAGACGTGTAAAAACACTTCAGACAAACATTCAATTCTTCTTTTGATATTTCTTCTATCGGTGCCACCAGGAATAGCAAGCCATTCTGTAACGTAAGGTAAACATTTTGTTCTTAGGTAATTTTCATAAATGCGTAAAATCTCGGAAAACTTAGCGGATACGTACCGTTAAATAATTTCATCCCGAACTTTGTGGCTTTTTTTGTTGTTTCTGGGACGGCCTTGTCCATAATTTCTTAACTTTCCTCTGTGGATAGCCCGCCGAATCTGCTTTGTTCATCCATTTTTTTTGTCGGCGAAACTTGGCTTCCCGCGAAAAATTTTATGCCGAGCGACATTCGCCGTTCATGCCGCATTCATTTCCATATATGGTCAAACGCAGGCATGACGCCTGGTAACCGAGATCTAGTGAACCAATCAGAAAGCTAAAATTACATTATCCGTTGAGAATTTAATAAAGAGATTTCGCCAAGCCCAAAAGCGGAGTTCCTGGGCCGGGTTGTTCAAAGCCCGATTAAGCTAACCCAGAATAAGCGAGAATTTTGATTTTTTAACTTTGCGGTTAAGTTTTCTACATATTGTTTCGCCTTCTGTTTTAATTTTGAATAATCTCAAACTACACGAAACAAAAGCAGTGAAAACATAACCAGTTGATTGCATCCTGAAAATAAGATATTATTTGATGCATCTTCCGGTGGTTGACTGAGATTTTTTTTCATTGCAGACAGATTTTGACGATTTCCTCAAAGAGGCAGGCTCTAAACTAGTCGTCATAGACATCTATGTTGATTGGTGCGGCCCTTGCAAGACGATTGCATCGACATTTGCGGTAATTAATTGACAATGTAATACAGGTTTCCACAAACTTGTATGGTGAATAACGTACAGGAAAACTGAGCTGAGTGGCTATCTATACGTACTTGTAGTTTTAATCATCTGGAATATAAAACCCTAAATTTGTGGCCGGCCACAGAAATAATATCTGAGAGGTTCAGTGACAGAGGAATTTTAGCTTCAGTTCACGCCTAACTGTTCCTGCATTTTCTAACGGACAGATTAACTGTTGAATATTATATTTTAATAACTGGTAGAGCAGTTTTCAATTGAGTGTCGTAAAACCAAACCCAAACCAATTACTTCTCAATTAGACTACTAAGCCAAGTTCAAATCGTAGTAAAACCAAAACCAAAACCAAAGTAATTGTCTAATTTCTTTCGACACTCAATTGAAAACTACTCTATATAAAATAATAGTGAGTTAATAGTCATTATCAGACACAGCAGCCACACTGTAGTACTGTGGTTTTCAACTGAGTGTCGTAGAACCAAAATCAAAGTAATTGCTCAAGCCAATCACAAAGGACACAGACAATACGGTGAGCCAATCACAGCTCTAAGTAATTAAATGTAGCTGATGCGAAGTGAGGGAAAACATGTGCGAACAAGTCACAATTGGTTTTGGTTTTACTTCTGATTGGATAAAAGTTGGCACGAGTTTTTTTAAGCCAATCGTGTAGCCGAGTAAGCACAAAACCATTACTTTTCAACACTCAAATGAAAACTGCCTTATGAATGAATGTTCATCCAACATTCTTTGGTAAAGTTGATACTATTACTCTGGATGATAATGACGTCCATCTTAGATTAGGTGAGGTTTTAAACACAAAATCTTTATACAACTGAATCAAGTTTAATGAACCTGGACTTAAACCAGGAACACCAGAATAGCCGCATATCGCTAACCACTAACTGTTAACGTGTTCCAGCTGAAAAACTAGCTATTATCTGTCGAAAATTATACTGAAATCCAACTGTAAACATGTACCTGCAGATGGCGTAGGGCGGGCGCAAAACAAGTGCAAGATACGCAAATGTTTTACTTACTGGGGAGGTGACAGGAAAAAATGGTAACGGGCACCGTAAAAGTTTTCAAAAAAGATCAATAACTTTAAAAAACGCGTGATTACCACTACATTTTATGTTATATAATGGATATGGCAAACCTAATGAACATGTGATTAGTGTCTGGTTGTGAGCAAAAGGTATTTAGACTGTATTTTAGCTGCAGCAGAGGAAGGCTGTCAGAGACGCAAAAAGCGCTGTCGCAACGATTTTGTTATTAAAAATAAACCAAAAATGTTTTTTTTATGTCACCATTTACCTTGTGGTTTTAAGATCTTTATAAATGTGTTTGCTTTTCTGTATGAAAAGGCGAATTCTAAGAAAATCTGTGAAGGAATATCCTTTTCTTCTTTTTCAGAAAAATGCTGATGTCAGCATTTTAGTTGAGATTCAAGGCTAATTATCTCGAAAAAATGCGTGGCTACCCCAATTTTTCTTTGTGGATTCCAATAGCCCCTGTAAAGATCTGCTATTTACTGGACGGCACATACATACGTGTCTTTGTCATCCATTACTAGAGTTCAGAGTTTCTACTTCATAGCTGTAATATCTACACTAGTCAAGTTTGATAGAATTACAAACATGCACATGTACTCATGAGTTGTCGTCGTTATTAACTTGATGTGCTCTGCACTTCAGGAAAATTGCATAAGAACCGTACTGATCTGGTCATCTTAAACCTGTCTGATAGATGTGTATGATTTTGTTCATTTTAGAACATGGCAGAGGAATTCCCAGATGTATTGTTTGCAAAAGTGAATGCCGATGAAAACTCGGTATGCTCTGTAATTAAAATCATATTTGTGTTCGCCTACATTGTTCGAAGATGTCTTTAAAGGCCTGTTGCAAGTGCTAACTTACCTTCTAAGCAAAAAGGTGCTTTGCCATCATTTAAATAATTAAGACAGTTTCTGCTGAACATTCAAGCAATATAAAACCAAAAACACCTTATAGCCGGCGTAGTGACATTTTGAATATTGTAAACAAGAACTTATCGGGACTTAAGCACTCAAGCTGACTCTGGGGGATAACAATGAATTTGAATTTATCTATACTTTCATTAAAATGGACGTTCCACACTTGTTGAAAACAAAATGGCACGCTTTAAGGATTTTTAAGAGGTTTTGCTTTAACTTTCTTAAGAATGCTTAAGAGTTTAATTGCGGATTCACTTGGAGAAACATATTTCAATTCGTAGTCTTTAATAGTCTTTCATGTTTTTGCTCAGGAAACTGTACAAGACCTGAATATTTCAGCTATGCCAACATTCAAGCTTTACAAGAATGGTAAAAAGGTGTGTAACTGGGTGTAGATTGATCATTATTGATGATCAAACAGTTTATACAGCTTTAGGGTTTTCTTATAGTATGGCTAGTTCTGCCAGAGGGTAAGGGGACCAAAATCTGTGCCCTGATTGGCTGTCTGAGCAGGTAAGATGGAACTGACTTGCCAGGGAACGGAAGGGGGGGTGGCCTGCTGTGTTCTTCAAGAAAAATGGTGTTCTTTAATGCCATAATGATATAGTAATCAGGCAGATTTTTCAGAATGACTCAGACACTCAAGAAAGGGAACTTGAAATCCAAAACATTTCCTGGGGAGCATGCCTGGGTGTGGGAACTCCCTTATATGGGCTATATAGGTATGTGCGGCCCTAAAGGGTATTGTTTTTCAGCCGTTTTGGTCATAAATAGGAGATCGTTTTGGCCATTTTGGTCTTAACTGGGGTATGGTTTTTGTACTCTAGTCTTGAATTGGGTCTTTTTTTAGAAGAAGATACTTTTTCGTCGTATTTATCGATACCCTTCAAAAATTATGTTTAGGGCAACTGTGCTAGGCGTAATGGTCATAAATAGGATATCAAATTTTTGGTCAGGTCATAAATAGGGTAGAGAATATTGCAGATTTTGGTGATAAATAGGGTAAGGGTTTTGGGAAGCGGGCCGCACACCCACACAATTATCCTGGGAGTATCATTCCCCCCCATAGGGGAGCACGAGAGTGCTTGAAATCAATCTTCAATGTAAGTAGTACATGCCCAATATTGTGACATGGGCCCTTCTGTTCTGTAGATGAAGCTTTAGTGTGTAATGGTTACCACTTACATGTAAATAAAAGCTAATCGACCCATGTGTGGTGTTTTTCGTCTTCCTGGGCCTTCTGAAGCGTCTTTTTACAAAATGACGTTTGGCATTTCGCGACAGCCCACTACTTTCATGTGGTTCTAATAATAATAATAATAATAATAATAATAATAATAATAATAATAATAATAATAATAATACTGTCGCGGCTAATCGCCGTCGCAAAGTACAGCAACGACGCAGCTCAACAAGGTCGAACCGAAAGCATACATACTCAAGGTGTTTCAGTACCCATTAAGTCTGGGGTGAAACCCAAGTTTGTGACCATTCCATTTGTTTATTATGTTGTACAAAATGGTTCTACACGTAACTGATAAGTCTAGGGATGAGATCCTAGTGTGTGACCATTCATTTGAAAGCTATTGAGCAGTACTGTCATGTAGTTTTAAACTGTTTATTACGCTGTACAAGGTGCTTCTAACTTTTAAGTCTGTAGTTGAAACCCAAGTTTGTGACCATTCAAATAAAAGCTATTGAGCAGATCTTTTACATCTGGCTACAAGCATTAAGATTCTATCTTGGGTACAACGGCTTGTTTTGGATTTCTTGTCAATGTTTTGACAGGTGAATGAGTTGGATTTTTGGGGTTTTTTGCAGATAGATGAGTTAACTGGAACAAATGAGGTAGCACTGTGGGAAAAGATCAAGGCAAACAAGTAGTTTAAACATAATGACAAGAACTTTTTTGAATTTAGTTTGTATGGACTTGAAGGCATTTGGTAATGTAAAGTAGAATTTTGACAGCATTGTTACTCAAGTCAATGGGCTTTTTTTCGTGCACGAGTTGAGAAATCAATCTTTCTGCCCTATAAAATGATTTGGACCGAATTAGAGCTGTAGCAGTGAAATTTATAATTCATGTACAACAACTACAGCAAGGACAACTTTTATTTGTACCCAACATTTTGACCAGTTAAACTAATAAACAAAACATTTTTTAAAGTAACCATAAGGGGCTTA